TATAATATGTATGTATATATGGATGAACTCCAATGAGAATGATGCTCAGTGAAAGAAATAAGAATACATTACATGATCCAATGGCTAAATTAATTCAGCATTTATATATTCATTAGGGTATTTAGACATTTTAAAATTTTAATTAACTAGTAAAGTGCACGTGCGATGCACGTGGTGTCGAATGATTTTCGCGGAGTAAGTTTGTAAAATAAATAAATTTATTTATTAAACATATTATTGCATAAATGAAGTAAAATATAGAAAAAATGAACTCATGTGTGTTTCTTTTTTTATTTAGAATTAACATAATGATGTCCTCATATAAAAATAGTGAAATAACGTTTTACAAACCCCAACAAAAATATATATAAAAAAACAAATTCCTAATAAAAAAAACACAAGATTTTCTTTCATTTTAGTTTTAACGTTCCCATTCATAGTCGTTGGAGTCCAATACATCAATACTATTGTAAAATTCCTCTTAATTAATTTGGCAAAACGCCAATTTTATTTAAACACTTAAGAAACATTTTGACCCAACATATAGTCAAACTTCATGATCGTATGATCTTTATAACAATGTACTTCTACTAACAAAGGATAAATATCTCTATAAAATAACTAACGGTGTCACTAAAATTGCTGATATTTTTATCACTGTATAAACTACTACATTTCTCTATCTCTAGATATATTGGTGTCTACCCCATTGATGCATCGCCCCACAAGGTGAGAATGAATTTTATCTCCAAATAAAAGTTGAGTTTCCAAAATCTTTGTTACATATACTTCTCCCGAGGTGCTAAATTATTTTTTGAAATCATCATACATTACCTGAAAGTACCTCTAAAGTAATTGCACATATGTTCAAGCACAATACACCAATGAGATTATAAATAAATCTATAAAAAGTGACAACTTAATTCTAACATTCAAAACTGTTTTGATACTCCTACATTTTATTTTCAGTGTTATTTATCTAGAATATAGACGAACAATATAATCTATTTTTGCAATGATAAAACAAAACAATGAGAAAATATTGAGAGATATATCATTTGTTAAAATATTTGACAAAAGAAGAATTAGAATCCCATTATATGACGATACTTTTAGTCATTTGTAAAGTTTATTATTATGGAGTCATGATTAAAATGTACATCATGTATACAAATTTTTAGATTTTTTGATTATATAAAATTGAAAATAAATAATATATGATCATTATTTATGAGAACCAATTTCTTACAGCTAGCAACAAAAAAGTAGTAATTCTAAAAGATTTTTTGTTTGTAAATATTGGTATTCATACGTTTCTAAGAAAATTAGCATGTTTTTTTTTTCTCATTGCATTACTATTATATTATTTGTTTCTTATTCTATAGACAAATAATATTTTATTTGCTAAGTAACTAAAGCACATT